GGTTGTTAAATTACTTGAATCGCACCACTGCATGCTAGGCACCAAGCCAACAAGGATGACCTTGGGCTAGTGAATCTCTCTCTATCTTAGGATAACAGTAAGTACAAACCATTTCTGAAAATGTTGACAAGAAAACCGCAAGGACATGTCCAAGCTGTTGTCAGGAACCAAGGATGACTCAAATAAAAACCTGAAACAGTTCAGAGAAGGCAAAATCATAAGACACGTGTGTTTTTAAGCAGATCAAAAGAAGTGCCTTTGCCTCTCTTCTCCCACTGCTCCAGTCTGAGGAAATAACTGCTCAATGAGTACAGGGTGACGAAACGCCAAAGACAGCTTGTTATCTGGATGACTTGAAGCCAGTCAGTGTCTCTCAGCATAACCTTACTATCAGATTGTTGTGAGTTAAATGAACATGTTGTTACTCAGGCACACCATGGAAAAGCAAAGCAGATTCAGAAGGCACATAACTCCTTCTTATCTCAAATCCTTCCTCAGTACTCCTTTGAAGAAAAATTGTGGTCAAGCATTCCTCAAAACATTTCTTCCTCATTTTAAGCTGAGAGCATTTCTTTACCATTAAAGGGGAATTTAAGAATACAGAATTTGTGCGAGGCACATGAAGCTAGTGAATACTGAAGAAACTGTGATGGACCACCTCACATATTTTTCAATTTCAAATTACCATCTTTCCCCGAAAATAAGACCCTGTCTTATATTTTTTGAACCCTGAAATAAGCGCTTGGTCTTATTTTCGAGGAGGTCTTATTATTTTGGGGTGTGTGGAGCAAGGCAGGGCTCCTCTTGCCATTTTACCTGATTTCCAGTTCTGTCTCCCTAACCCTAACCAGAGGAAATGGTGGTGACGGGCTGCACATGCATTTAAATATTTTTGGGGAGGGCTTATTTGGGGAGGGTATTTTAGTGCATGTGCTCCAAAGCCCAATTGGGCTTATTATCTGGTGAGGTCTTATTTTCAGGGAAAGTATGTACAATTTTAATTGCCTGATTCAAATACATATTAGACTTTTTACAATTTATCCTCATATATTTTTTCCATATAAGATGTAAATTATGATTATCAGTTGGCAAACAAGGATGGCACTGACAGTGGAAAAATATACTATTTTGCCACCATCTCTTGCTCATTTGACTCTTAAAAATGCAGCAATGGTGTTAATAAATACCATTATGCGTGGCATGAAACTGTTTGAAACATTTTTCCATGTAATTTCCCTTTCTGAAAAAATAGCTGACTTCTACTCCATTTAATAAAAATAAAATCAATTTTGACTGAAGTGATTGATTTCCAGCATAGCTTTTGATGTCAATGATAAAATAGAATTTCTTATCTTAACAATAACATGGAGCAGATGTCAGACAGTGATTAATTCTGAGGCATATTAGCAACAAGGAACAGAAGAAAGGACATAACATCTCACATAGACAACAATTTTGAAACAATGATTCACAGCTTTGTTTGATGGAAATCAGTATGCATAGAATAGCAAACTATGCAGTAAGATCAAGTGGCACTTTATCATTTATGTAAATAAATGATGGATTGTTTATTTCCTGGTTCAGTTCATATCCTGTTTCTAAAAGATGTTCCCAAGTCAGTATATAACAATTTAAAAACAAAGGAATCCTGTTAGGTCATGTTAAAGGATTATCCAGCATCCCACATACTAACCACTCAGATGCTTCCCATAAATTCACATACAGTGTACAAATCAGCATCTTCTTCAGCAGCCAGGGTTGATTCAGAGAGATTCAGAAGCTGCCTTTAATAGGTTTAGTCTAATCTTCTTGAATTTGTCTTGAATTAAAAGAGCAGAAGAAACCAATCTGGACAGGAGAAACTCATTCCTGTCAAGTCTGTGCCTGAATCCTGGGAACATATGGAGCTCATCATGGTCAGAGCAGGGTACCTGCCAAATTCCACAACAAACACAGCATGGTACTAGGAAATGTTTCTAGTCTTTTGAGAATCTCTGGCTTTCTCTTTCCTCCTCCTTCTCTTCTTCCTTCTAGTTTCTAATCTGTAAATTTAAAAACTTACCTGAAAGTAAACAGGTAAAGTCTATTACAAACAGGTCATTGGTGATACACACACACCCCTATGAATTATAGGCCCAAATAAATTATGTAAAATAGCAGGCTTTGAAATAAGGACAAAGTGAAAAACTAGGATAAAATAGTTGGTTCACAAGGATGTTAGTACAACTCTTGTTTTTTTCCCCAGTGTATCCTTGGTGTAGAAATACAGGTTGCCAATGTTTGTTTTTGTTAACATAAAATATAAACAGTTCAGGGAATTGTATGTCAGTAATTTGTATGTTATGGTGGAGCAGATTGGTAAATGTTGTCCACATCTGATGTTTTCTTATAAAATGTGACATGAAAACTGATCTGAGTCAGAAAGGACCTGGAATGACCCATTACATTTTTCAATGGAATGTTGAAAGACACTTTACAAAACTGGCAATGGCTCTGCTTTTGTCCTGCAAATGGTGTATTTTGTGTACCAGGGAATATCATCCCACTGATTTCATTCCTCATGAGTTATATAACTTCATAGCTACATGAGATGGAAATTAGGCAGACAGCTTACTCTACATAACAGTTCATCTGCCAAATCAATTTTGCTGTGCTCCTTTTTTCCGGCCTTAAATTTATTCCACCTTGTTTCCTTGCCAGTTCTGTTTTTTTTTTTTTAAGGTGACATGAAGAGCTTACATATATTTCTCATAGCATAAATATTTCTATGCATTTCTTTCACTATGTACATTTTTATATATATTTTTCTAAGCATAATTTTTGGGAATATATTTTCCTTTGTAAGCCTCTTTCTCAATATTTTTCACCAATATACAAATCAATGAACATATCTTTATACTATGAAGTATATCTTAATATTTGAGGAATCTGGGTAAATATTATTGTTTCAGTTCAGATAAGGATTCAAAACTGAGTTAAGTGAATATGAACTAAGTGGATATAATACCATCCCTAGCTTAATGGTTGAACTTCAATTCTTTTATAAATAGAAGCATTTCTTTCTGTTCTTAAAGTTTTCATTGCAAAGTTTATTAGAGAAAAATCCCACTTTAATGGATCATCTGAGGAGGACCAAAAGCCCATTAAACTTCTCAGTATTCATTAATTTGTGATTTATTTATGTATGTATTTATTTTTATTCCACCTATTATTTTTATAAATAACTCAAGGCAGCTAACATACATGACACTCCCTCTTCCTCCTATTTTTCCCACAACTCTGTGAAGTGAGTTGGGTGATTTCTTTCACTATATGACATAACATAGTATTAATATAAAATAATATAATTATAATGCCTCATTCAAACTATGGGCTTTGATACGACAGGCTGGTCCATTATTTCACTGGAACATCTGGATAGACATGTGGTCTGTTGTATCAGAAGTCTGCCAAATGGGCAATCTGTTAAATTGAGGCTTCACTGTGTTATATTCATTAGGGTTGGATAGTATTTTGAATTTGAAAGCAAAAAGCTGCTTCCTTAAAGAACCTGCATCATCTCTCAAGAGTTGCACTGTAATTACAATGAAGTATAAGCTGTTTATAAGAATCACAGACTGTCCCTGCATCTTTCTGCCTTCAAATCTGTGGTCATGTACAGTCCTAATATTCATCACACCTAGGCAGATGGAGAAGAAAAAGTGTTGGGGAAAGCCAACATGATGAATATAACTGAGGAAGAGGAGGGGCTTCTGTAAGGAGTAGGCAGCATTTATCCTCTGTTTGTGAAAACGGCATGGAACAAGCCAACTGCCCTCAGATACCTGCTTTGAAATGTCAAATTCAGAAGACAGAGGGGACCAGCAGCCAAAGAAAATATGTAGAAGCAGGAACAATTAAACCAGCTTCTGTACTATGGACTATAGAGTTTGAGTATTGTTTGTGATAGTAATTCAGTCCAATATAACATCTGTCTTTCTTTTGTGTTACATAGTATTTTTGATATTTTTCATCAGTATATTTTTATGGATTTCAAATTCCCTGAACTTTCAATTTTATATTTTAGTTCTAGAGGTTTTTTTGGAATTTTTCTGTAAGCAGTTGCTTCAGTGCAGATTTTAAAATGGTAACGGGGTTTGGTATTTCTTTCTTTGTTTATTTGGCTATATATATTTGGCTCTATAGAGCCACCAAATCAAGAAATACTCAAAGCAGCTTAACTGAAAAATTTAGAAATCACACTACAAAACGTATGAAAACTAAATTTTACTACAGTATGTGGAAATACTTTACAAAAATTATTTTAGTCATTCCTCATCGGTCTTTACTTAGTGGAATCACAAAACATTTCAGCCAATTTGAAAAGCCAGATTTGGTCAATAAAAGGAAATGTGTTGTTCTTTTTCCATTATAATTAGCATATGAAATGGCTAATTATTACAGCTGAAAAAGGAAATTGAGGAAATTGAAAAAGAAAATACTTTATATAGCAGAAGTAAAGGAGTTAATATAAAACATATGAGCACATTTCATGAGATACATTGCATTCTTTGCAAAAAAGAGTATGTGTTAGAATTTGGGGATCTATATTGTTTTTATTTGAAAATAAAATTCTTTGAACAAGAGTCAAGTTTAGAAAGCATGCCTTTTGAAATTAGTCTTGAACTGAAGGGTCTGTGGTTCTTATCCTGAATGCATATGTACAATAAAAGATTACAAACAAATCAAGATAGCACCAAAAAAAGCATTTCATGTTTTTTTTAACAATGGCTAAATGCAATTTAAAAAATTGATTTATAGTCTTTTAAATAGTTGGAAAAGTAGTTAGAAATGTATAACTACTTTTATCTTATTCTGGTGAAAATCATCGGCTTCCTAGAATGTTTGTTTTTGCTTTACTTTGTGAGATATATTTAAAGAAAAAAAATTTCTTCCCATTTCCTTTGAGACAAATATTTTTTAAAATCTTAATTTTATTTTGTGTATTTATAATTTTTTAGGATGAAATTTTGACTGTCATCCGAAGAGTAGATGATAATTGGGCAGAAGGAATGCTGGGGGATAAAATTGGAATATTCCCTATTCTGTATGTGGAGGTAAGCTCAAATTACCTTTGTGCTTCTTTGTTGAGAGAAAAAGTTTGTTTGTTATAACTTGTCATTTGATTTTTAGGGTGAAATCTATATAATTCTTTTGATGGTGAACACAAAGTGCAGGATTTTTCTGTTGCCCTGAGATGGACACACAACTAACACACACACACACACACACACACACACACAGCTCTGTCACCACAAATGCACTTTTGAAAATTGTCAGAGACTTTTCTGTGAAGAAGACACTGCCCATTTTAGTTGATCATTTTGAGAAATACGAATCAACAAAGACAAAACTCCAGTTTGAAAGTTTACCTTCAGTTACTATACAATTGAATTCGCACTTGCTTGAAACTGTACATTTTTCTCTGCTGTTTTCCATTTCTATGAATGTCTAGTATACTGAGTTCTTCTCCTCTAATCCAGGTAGTTGCTGCTTTTTGAAGACACAAGTTGCTAACTAAGCTAATCCTTTAATGGAATGATTTATTAAAAGTGAGCGTCTCCAGGAAAATTCTTATTCATAGCAGCCTTTGCATATAAATCAAAGCTGCACTTGTAAGATATGACTGGTTGCACCTGATAGTGCTGCAGTTTGTGGAACCCCTAATTCACATTGCAGGGTCTCGACTTTCACTAGTATCTTGTGCCAATATTGATCATAATTACTCCCTTTCCTGGACCGACAATCCCTACTCACAGTCACTCATGCCCTAGTCATTTCCCATCTTGACTATTGCAACACGCTCTACATGGGGCTGCCTTTGAAGAGCATCCGGAAGCTCCAGTTGGTGCAAAATGCAGCAGCCCGCATGGTTTTGTGCAGACCTCAGTATGCACATGTATCACCTCTCCTGCGGGAGCTGCATTGGTGGCTGATTTGCTTCCAGGTACAATTCAAGGTGCTGGTTGTTACCTTTAAAGCTCTTCATGGCTTGGGATCAGGTTATCTGAGGGTTATCTGATGTGTCTCTTGCTGGTCACATCTACCCAACCCATCAGAGCAGGAGGGCAGGAAATGTTGCGGGTCCCATCCTCTAGAGAGATACACTTGATGTGACCCAGAAGAAGGGCCTTCTCCATGGTGGCTCCCTCTCTCTGGAACATCATTCCCCCAGAGATTAGAATGGCCCCCTCTCTAACACTCTTCTGGAAGGACTGAAGACCTGGTTCTGCCAGCGGGCCTGGGGAACGCAGAATGGGACGGAACCCATTAAATGACTCATGTGATGTGTTGTCTCTAGGGTAGGAGGGTTATTATATTATTTTATTAATTTATTCTCTTTTATTACTTTTATTGTTTTATATATGAAGTTTTTATATTCCTGTAAGCCGCCTTCAGTCACCATGTGCAAATAGATAGCAATAAAGTAAAAAAAAATTAAAATAATTGTTTAGTCAAATTGAATGCATAATTCCCACTCCACTCAGAAGTTTATTTCTACAGTGCATAAGGAAACTTGCATGTAATAATGAAATATGATAGATAAAGTGAATAGATTATCACAAATTAATTATGTCCCAGTTTCTGACATCACCAGTAAGGGCTTCTTAATGAATATACTACCTATGTTTGTGTTTATTATACTGAAAGAACAATTTTGTTGATTGTGAATTGCAACATACCGGTATGTAGTATAATGGTTAATATGTTGGAATGGAATGGAAAGATCTAATCATGATTTATTTATGTTATATAAGATAACTTAAGGCCACTCACTCTAACTCATAGGAATGCTATAAAATGAGTGGAAAATCTATGTGCACAGCCTTCATCTCATAACATGACAGTTACATGTAATAACATGTAAATAAATCTCTCAAAATAAGTCCTTCCCACTGTTGTAACCCATCCCTTTGAAATAAGTCACCACTCTCTTTGAAAGACCTGAAGGAAAATTAAAAAATAAAATAGCTGCCTGCATATTCACAACCGCAGTACAGTATTCAATATTATGCAAAGCACCATGGATATAAATTCTTCAGTGACAACAGCTATAATTTTTTAAATTATGTTTTAGCAACTGTTATTGAAACATTGACTGCTTATGGTGGTGTAATAGTTGATGATGTTCTATACTCATAATGTTAGATGCAGGCAGTTTATTTGATTAAATGATACACTGTGGGAATTCTCTTGGCTGTTATGCTCCTGTTAATCAATGCACTAGGACTAAACTAATTATTGTAAAGAAATCTTCAGGGGATTGTTCAGTCAAAAATATTCTGAGAATTAAGGTGTAAAGTCTACTATTCATTCTAACTTGTTTTGGCAGTCTATAATGCCATTATGAAAGGAGGAAATTCACAAACAATTATAGTTCCTAGTTCATATTTTGCTTCTTTTAAGATCTGGGGAAGAAGCTGAAATTTTCAAGGCCCATCTTTTGTAGGATCCTACCATTGTTTTGGGACTGCTGTTGTAAAGTAACTTGGAGTGGGGTAGAGAGAGTGTACATTCAATATTGAAATTCAACATAATGCAAGCATAAGGAATAAAGTCAAACTAGAATATTGTACTTTAAGAGAGCCGATTTTAACAAACATAGAGGATTCCTATTGTCCAGGAATAGAAATATTTAATAAGTCTGAATTTTTTTCCATCTTACCTAACTTTCAGATTTTTTCGTTGAACCACAAACAATGCACCTAGGCATTCTCTTATTGGCAGTGTTACTCATAAATGTCACAAACTGCTTTTGAATAAATTCTCCAAACTTACCGTGGTCACAGCCGTAAAATAGAATTTCCATTAGTAAAGGAAAAAATTTTTGAACCATGTACAAGGCAATATGATTAGGTCCAACATGCAGATTTGCAAAGAGGTGTCTATCAAACTGGGTGAATTGGATTTTTACACATGCCATGTACAAAAAATCACTTAAGGCTTAGTTGTTCCACTCATATTCACAATATTTAATATTGAACACTAACTATTGTTCAAAAATGGAGTAATATCAATCAGGTAATGGGAAATTTATAGTAAAGGGTAGAATCATGTAGAATTTTACCAAGATTTTTTAAAAATGATTATTTACAATGATAAATTGTACATTGGGACTGCCAACAAAGCTTAGTATTTGCACAGAAGATTCAACTAAATTAATCCTGTAAATCCAAAAATGAGATCACTGGACTGTATTATAGACACTTTGAAATAGCTGGATTATACTAGCTGTGAGTAAATCACATCTCGGCAACGTCAAGATATGTTTTGTTGTGGTAGTTTAGGGTGAAGGAATTTAATAGTCTGCTCAAAGATTTTATGTCTCCCCTAAACATCTACAGCCTGTCAAATATGGAATTAAATGTATATTATTCAATATTATATATTCATAGAAAATAGTATTCTTGAGGAATATTCTCCACAAAATTCCAGGTTTCTACTTAGGTAAAATATTAACTGTAACATTTCTTGTTCAAATATTATAAATGCTCTAGGGAAGGAAAAAAAATCCTTGCTCACTGTCAGGGGATTAATGCTTACTGTTTCTATATGTATTATTTATTTTCTTTTTTCAAACTCATGGATGCTATCCTGTCTTAAACGTAGACTGCTTTGATATACATCCTTTTTGGAATTTACTTATAAACAACCTTCCTGGTAAATAACAGAGAGGCTATATGTAAAGATCATAGTAAATACATATTGTTTGACATTGGGGGAAATAATGGTTATGTCAGAATTTCTACAAATATTGATATAAGAATGTAAAAATTAAAATGTATTTGCAGAGTATTGAACACTAGCATCAGAATACTCAAGTAAATATAAAAATAAAAATATTGTGTAAGTATAAAAATATATAATTGTCTTTTTGAGCATAAATAGCTAGCAAAGAACCTGGGCTTTTATCCACTATCACAATCTAACAGGAAATTAATATGTTAAAGCCAATTAATTGTTCTTATTCTTTTCCTGAAACAAGGTCAGTAAGCATTACACTACATATCTTGATACTATAGAATAAAGGTATTGTAATGGAGACTGAATGAACATTTTGTGAAATGTTCTGCATTTGCTAGTCTAAATTAACACATACAGTACAGAATAGTATGCAGCTCAGTCTTACAATTACCATGTCTTCCTTTTTCATTGGTAGAAGATTCAAATAAATTGGACCTTTGGAACTGAGTTGTTTTCTTTTTAAATTCAGGATTATTTTAAAAAATGAAACAAATACAATATTATGTTAAGAATATAACTACTAGAGATATATTACAGTAGATTAGTTGATCTAGTAGTATTATTGGAAATTATATACTCTCCGCATTATAGAAGTCCATGGAGTACAGATTTTCCCTATCATTTAAAGATCAAGGTATATTAATAAAGAAATGTTGAATTTCTTTTTCTGGTGAAACTAAAATGGAGGCTGCTGCTGTGCATATATCTCCAGATCAGTGGATGAGTAGCTTTGGACTAAAGTTTAAAGTAATTTATAGATTTAATAAAATCACAATATATTTTAATATAGGAGTTGAGAAGTATATATATCATCTATAAACAGTTTAAAACAAACAATTCATGTACCACATACTGTATGTGGCTTTCAAAGGAGTCACTTTCAAAGTGAGATGGGCAGCATATAAATTAAATGAATAAATAAATGTTCGAAATTGTTTTTATAAAAAAAGGATGATTACTCATATTCTCCTGGGAACCTGTGAAGACCTGGCTGTTTCAGAAAATCTCTGGGGACTGAATCTGTATAATCTTGGGATGTTGTTTTGATGTAAGAAATGGAATTATGGGTGTGGGTAGAGACGATTACATCATGGGTAACACTGATAATAGCTGTACATTTCTGCCCTTGACTGTCCAAGTGATCCTATCAAGGATCTTTTGCAATTGAGAGAGGCTGTTGGAATCCGAATGGGGAAGAAAAAGCTTTGACTTAGTCCTAGCAAGACTAAGTGGCTGTGGGTTTTAGGGCTCACCAGATCTGGAGATTTCCCATTTTTGAGTCTGGATTGTTTCCCAAAAATGTGTTGATTCACAATTTGGTGTTCCTACAATTTATGTTTTAAGGAACAGATAGCAACTGTGGCCTGGAAAGCCTTTAGCAAAAAGCTAAAGATTGTGATTTTAGAAAGTTTAAAGCGACTAAGAATCCCAATAAAATTGGAATATCGAAACATAAACGGTTGCAGTGTCCTTGGGGTCATGAATGGCTGCACTTATCTGAAAAATGTGAATACACCTTTTACAGGTACTCCTTGATTTACAACCACCATTGAGCCCAAAACTTACGTTGCTAAGTGAGACACTTATTAAGTGAGTTTTGCCCTATTTTACGACCTTTCTTGTCACAATTGTTAAGTGAAGCATTGCAGTGGTCAAATTATTAACACGGTTGTTAAATGAATCCAGCTTTCCCCATTGACTTGTCAGAAGGTCGCAAAAGCTGATTATGTGACCCTGGGACACTGCAATTGTCATAAATATGAACCTGTTGCCAGACGGTTTGGGGAAAAGGATATTTCATTGGATCTATAAAAGAAATTGACTTTTAAAGTTGTGGCTTTAAATTAAAGGGGAAATACTAATGATAATCTAAGAGAATGACCTGGATAATTTTTTCCTATGGAATTTACAAGGGAGGGAGGGAGGGAAGAAGGAAGGAAGGAAATATTCTCTTTATATATCTTTGTATATTTAGGATTTGCATGAAGTAATGTCTCATTACGTGATGGAACTGTAAATCTTGCACTGTAGTAAAGTTATCGCTCTGTAATGCCCCTTTCTCTTTGTTACTGTATAATGCCTGTATAATACCTATATGACAGGGCTGCTCTAAATCAACAACTTCAACCAATAACTAAGTAATAACTTCAGCTTTTCAAAAGAAAACTAATTCGTCAGTGGGATTTTTGATCATTGAACAAACTGCTTCTGTTAATGACACATCTATGTGACAGAATATTTTTATTTTATTTTATTTTATTTTAATTCAATAGCATAGCCACTGCATTTTGTATTCTGCTTCTAAGAGAGAATTCTGATAATCTCAGATACATTTAACTAAATAAGTTCTAGTTGAAAAAACATTACATTGATATATTCAAGTTAAAGTACTAGCAAAATGTCATTCTTACGCTGATTGGCTTCTACTGTTTATTCTCTCATTTGATGATAGAATTTGAATTGTATAGATATTCAATGATAACACCTTTGTAATGCCCCCTTTCCCCCTTCTTTTTTTTTATTTCTTCTTTTAGCTCAATGAATCAGCTAAGCAGCTTATTGAGATGGACAAGACCAATGTAGCTGCTGCATCTGGCAGTGATGTCCCTTTGCCAGTTGACACTAACCTGGCAGTAAGCACAGCCCAGTGCTGCACACTGAACAGTGCTGGAGCAGTCAGTGCCATTCAGCGACATATTGACGGCAAGAAGAATGCCAAGAAGCGCCATTCCTTCACTGCTCTCAGTATGACCCACAAGTCCTCCCAGGCCTTGAATAATAGGCATTCCATGGAGATTAGTGCTCCTGTTCTGATAAGTTCAAGTGACCCCCGAGCTGCAGCCAGAATTGGAGATGTGGCTCATCTCTCCACCAGTGCACCAGTCCAGGTAAACTTTTAATTAACCACAATTCTCAGTCAACAATGGGAGAGATCAGATAGAAGTGACTTCATGTGCTTTGGCTATTAAATTACAATAGGGTGGCAGAAGTCCCCAAAATAACATTACTCCTCCTCCTCCTCCTCCTCCTCCTCCTCCTCCTCTTCTTCTTCTTCCTCTTCTTCTTCTTCTTCTTCTTCTTCTTCTTCTTCTTCTTTTTCTTTTTCTTCTCCTCCTCCTCCTCCTCCTCCTCTTCCTCTTCTTTTTCTTCTTCTTTTTCTTCTCCTCCTCCTCTTCCTTCTCCTCCTCCTCCTCCTTCTACCTCTACTCCTCCTCCTACTGCCATTTTTTTTTAAAAAAAGAACAGAAAATATAAATCCATTAAGGAGAAAAAAGATGAAATAACTCAATTCTATAATTTCTTTTCATTTGTAGTGCTAGGAACTCTCTCCCATTTTCCCCCAGAAGCAATTTCATCATATGCTGATCATCCCATAGAAAAAGGCAAACAGTCAAAACATTGTTCAGGAATTGCTTTGAGGAAAGAACAAAGTGCCAGTTGACTTTGGCTTAGATAATTTATTGGGGATTTGTCTGTGTGGTGTTTTTTTCATGTGATACATACAACACGATAGGATTTCACAATGTGGTTTTTCTCTGCTGTAAACCTCTTCTGAGAAGGTTTTATTTTTAATTTAATACTCTCACCAAAAAACCCTACAAAGATGTATTCACATAGTCACCAATATATGATTGGTGCAATTAATGCACTTGTCAGCCTGTATTATCGATACATTAAAAATTCATTATTCATTATTCAAATTCATTATTATTAAAAAGTAATATTGTTGAATCGTAACATTAACATTGTGATTCACCAGCCCCATTTCACTGTGTTCTTCTTGAGGTCTTTGTGCATTACGCTTATAGGATTTGTACCTGTTCAGGTAATCATCACATTACACTGAAAAAATTCTCATATAAGCAAGCAGTTGGGGATACTTCCTAGAAAACTCCTTTGGCTTTGTACAGCTAAGTGACACCAATCTGTTTTTTAAAAATCTGTTGCAAGAAAAGTCTTATGTTGATTGAATACTATACTTTGGGACATTTTTGGAGACTGAGGAAATACATTTGTCTTTTTTTAAAATCTGAGAGCTAATATTATCATCAAGGGCTTTCTGCTTCTATTTCCTAGTTCTATCATTAATGGCTTTTAAGCATTTTTAAAAAAAGATTCATGTTCATTTTCAGTGGGAATGGTATGGATTTGTTTTGACTTTATTCTTTAACTGGTATTTTAGTTATTACAATATTTGTTGCTTTGGTTTTAATTATATGAGATGATAGATTGATGATAGATAGATAGATAGATAGATAGATAGATAGATAGATAGATAGATAGATAGATAGATAGATAGATATGCTTTTATTTAAGTGCTTATAGCCAGCATAATATAGTGGTTAAGGTGCTGAACTTGGAGTAGGGAAGTCCAGGTTCTGGTCCTCCCCAGGCACAGAAGACAGCTGAGTGATCTTGGGCTACCTCTGAAGCCTAATTACAGTAGTTTCAGTCTCTGCAATAAGCCAGTTGTTAAACAAAGTTTTGAGGTAAAGGACAAGGCAAGTGTGATGCCAAAGTCAGGAAAAAAATGCTAAGAAAAATAACTTTTTAAATAAATATTTTCAAACCTTTTCATATATATTACAGATGTGCAGATTTGAAAACAAAAAGATGATTTGGAGCCTGCAGGGCCATAAACAGCATATTTCTAGAATTCCTTAAACCAAATATAAGATTTCCCACGATTGTGCAGCTGCTACAGAGGGATAATCATGGAATTAGGGGAAAAGATGCAGCATTTGTAGGCATTATAGTTCAAAACATCTGGAACATATAGATGCCCACAGTACTTCTGATTTGTATGAAAACAAAATTAAGATTATTATTAATTTGATTAATGTCTTATTATAATGATAGTTATTGCTGCTACTACAGTACTATTACTTTTGTAGTACTTTTTAAAGCTGATATAAATGACATAAAACCTTTCTTTTTTTTCTTCTATACATTTTTTAAAAATTTTATAACATATAAAAGTTTCATTTTTAGTTAAACAGTGTGTTGTCTGGATACAGATATTTTTTAAGAAACACGGTAATAATCAAAGTGTTTACAACAGTATTCATTACATTGGTATTAGTTCAATAATAATAATAATAATAATAATAATAATAATAATAATAATAATAATTGCTTGTTCATTTTAACAAACTTCCCTTGTATCATTAGTCCTTTTCTTATATCCACATGTTTCTAACTTCTATTTTCATTAGTTAGCCATTGATAAAATAAGTCCCATGTCAAAAAGTATTCAGGTTCTTCCTTTTTCTTAATTGTAAGTGTAAGAGGACCTAATACTCCCAACCTTGCTTGCAGTTATACAAATACTTGCCTTTGTTAAGTCCCAATGAATTCTGTAGGACTTATTTCTGGGCAAAGAGGTGATGACATTTAAACTTTAGAATAACAGAGTTGGAAGGGACCTTGGAGGTCTTCTAGTCCAACCCCCTGCTCAGGCAGGAAACCCTATACCGTTTCAGACAAATGGTTGTCCAATCTCTTCTTAATTGGTAATGTTTCTTTTTCTTCCTATATAGGAAAAAATTCCTATATTATTGGGCATTTACCTAATAGCTATTGTTATATGTGTGCATTAAGTAAGAAAGCTTTTTAAAACTTTAATGAAAATGTAGAAGCATGCGGTGAAAGTTACTGTTTCTACTAATCTATACATCAGAATAAAGTAAGCTTTTTTTTTAAAAGGACTCTGCCTAGTGTTTTTTTTCATGGCTGTTATTTACACACTTCTGTTTTCCAAGAGCATATGGAAGACTACAAGCTTTACAATTCACTCATAATTGCATGTCCTGTCCAAAATGGACTGGTTGTATTGTTCCTTTCATATAGGAAGAACCAAGACTGTGATACAGGGACTCCTTTTAGCCAAGCCAAAAGGTTTGCATAAACCAAAATTGGCTTTAAATTGCCCTCCCATTCATACAGTGATGCACAGGCAGCTTTTATGTGTTGTTTTGCAAAATGCTTTTATGGCTCCCCTAGGTTTAAAATGCAAATTGTGGTGTGGAAAGCTGCTGTTAGAAGTGGGGTAATAAAATAAAATCCTCCTAAGGGAGCAAAATCAAGTTTACAAATAGGGTGCATATTTTCTTTATGCAATCATACATACTCAAAGATACAACCATATGGAGAAAGACTAACATTGTTTTATAAAGAATCAGCAGCAGCCATTTTGTAAGGCTGTGGTTTTTTTTAAAAGGAGCTATAAATGCTATTTCCACTATGTAATCAGTGGGTCCAGACTTAATGTTTTACTGTTTAGTAAGTAGAATGTCTGGGTAAACAATTGTACATTTTAAAAAAAAACTCACTGTAACCACCCCTTAATATCACAGTTCCCTGGATTGCAACAAAGCAAAATCTATAGATCTCTTCCAAATCCTGTTGCAGTGACAAAAAACACAAGCTTGGTTCACTAATAAATCTTTTTACCTAAGGAATATTTTCCTGTGATAGAATGTGAAAATTAGAACCATATGAAAGGCCATCCAAATTTGACACAACCATGTCATTTCTATATTCACATATGTATGATAATGTCACAACTTACCACGGGTGGGAAATTCCATACAAAAATCCAAAAAAAACCCTTAATTATCATTCTCAAAATGGGTGGGGTATTGTGTTACAGGACAATAATGGAAAGCAGGAGGACTCCAGTGAATTCTAAGCAGTGAAAGCTGGTTGTGGAATTTCCCCATAATGGCAATTTACTAATCAAAGCTGTGATTATAAGGTCAGTTTAGTTTATATAGTCTCTGCTGTAACTTAGAAGTTGATCCTAAATTCAAGAGCTGATTACCTCCAACGTGTGCAGTTTCCTAAACAGATCTCTTTGTGCTGCTATAGAATTACAGTAATACTCATCAGGCCTGCTGCCTGGGGTACGTGTGTTTATGTATGTGTGTGTTTATGTGTGCACACATGCACATACACATATATACACATACATACAGATACACACACATATATACAAATATATACAGATACATATAATTGAGCCCAAAATTTCTATTGCTAAGTGAGATAGTTAAGTAAATTTCCCCCCATTTTACAACCTTTCTGGCCAAAGTGGGTAAATGAATCATTACAGTTGTTAAGTTAGTAACATAGTTGTTAAGTGAATCTGGCTTCCCCATTGACTGTTTGTCAGAAGGTTGCAAAAGGTTATCACCTTTGACCCAGGACACTGCAACCATCATAAATATGAATCAGTTGCCTGTCTGATGTCTGATTTTTTATCACACAACCATGGAGATGCTGAAATGATCGTGAAATGTGGAAAACGGTCATAAGTCACTTTTTTCAATGCCATCGTAACTTCGAACAGTCATTAAATAAACTGTTGTAAGTCCAGAACTACCTGTATACATCTTCAGAGACAGCTGTGCCCTAATCACCTCCAGATTGCATTGTTGCAATGGGCTCTACATGGGGTTGCCCTTGAAGAATATTTGAAAGCTTCAGCTGGATATTTATCTTTTAATGTGGATTTTTTATAACTCTATATCTTAGATATAAAAAAAACAAATATAAATATAAATATAAAAACAAATATATAAACCCAAAGCAGAGAGAAGAATAGCCTCCTCAGCAATGGAGCCATTGAAGCGTATCTTCAGTTCTCTGGGAACCCCAGATCTAATAACAATAACCTGGTCTTGAGGGATTTCTGGAATATCAAAATCTAATCTAATATAATCTCAGGGGGAAAGAAAGTTTCATTAGGTGGGCACCACAGCAGAGACTGCACATCTTCTGGGACCCACCAAATATAGATTTCTAGTTGATGGTACCTGCAGCATGCCTTCACAGCCATCTCTAATGGGATGGGCTGATGTAACGGGGGAAGGGGGGAGGAAGTCCC